GTCACATTTGTAGGGTTACCCGCTCCGGGGTCCAAGACTTGGATCCCGCTTGCATATGATGCACCACGCCCTGAGGGTCTCAGACCTATTGATCTGGAGATCGAACCTAAGGGTGACGTATGGTTGACGGGAGCCAGGCTGGAGCCCGTGGCACCCACGAATCCCCGGTGGAACTGCGCGATGCGATGGGTTCCCTACACCAAACATATCGCGCAAACTACTTGTATACGAACTTTTTTTCATTCCAGCCGTATCCTGAAGCGGGTTCAAACATAAATCGAGGTATTTGGAGACTGTCAGGATTGGGCTTGTTGGGAGTTCCGTACGTGTAGTGTGTGTGTTGGCATTGCACATGCCATGCCGCATTCCCAGTGCAGCTGAGTCAACTCCTCCGTGCCGTACACATGGCGTACTACCTATGGTCATCGGGATACATCCGAATCCACGCAGGGCGCTCCCACGATATGGTCCCACTGGTCGGGGGTAAAGCTCAGAAGATTGGTCCAGCGAAGCATCACACTCTCGTGCTGATACAGCAGATCGTGACAGCTCACTGAACCAAACCCAAGGCACCTTCCTTACGATTGTTGCATCTTCTTCCTGATGAGCAACCACCACAACAGCCGAAGAAAAGGCCTTCTGTTCTGATTTATCCGTTTTTTCAAAAGTCAGAATTCAAATCGCTTCCTTGATTACATCGTCCCAAGCTGTAACTACGTGGCTTCTCCAAGCGTCCTAGACTTTTTGCTTGAGCCAGGACCTTCGAATCCGCACTCATGTTGGCCTCCGCGCGCGTAGCGTCCGCCCACGCGCTGTCCGTGGCGTGCAGAATACCCACCCATAAGAGCCAACATGCGCACTCCCACGTGCCGTTGCTACAAGGTTCGTTCTTCCGACAACGCGATTTAGGAATGTATCTGGTTTACACACTGTAGAGTACTTCAGACGAGAAGTCTTTTATAAGCCGGCGGGTGCTGCCGTAATTCCTGAAAAGAATCGCGTTTCGTATTGTCATCACTTACCCATTCACATTCAGCAGGTCGCAAGCAGCACGTAGCGAGACCCGTCTGCCAAGCCAGCCACCGCAGCAAGGTGAGAGCCATGCCAGGAATCAATTCACGCCTAAAATGAAATATCGTCATTCTACTGACTATTGTGAAGTGCCACGCATAGAGGTCCCTGTGGCATAAGCGCTTACGGATGCATGCGTGAGCCGCAAGGCTTCCTTGATGCGCGAACCACTACGGAGAACGCATCGTAAACATTACGAGATACGCAAGTTATCTATCGCAAACTCGCACCAGCCCAAAAGTTGCGTGAATGCGACCTGTCGAAGATACGACTATGATGCAGCAGTACACGATCACTATGATCCCCTACCACCTGCAACTCCTTATCCCCGTGCGTTCCTTTCTCTCTCCCACCTCCCGCATCCTCTTCTTTCCCACTCACTTCAGACCGAGACCACCATCACCTCCACTACCACCACCACAGCAGCTGCCGCAGCAACAGCAGGAGGCGGTCTGTGGACTCTCCTCGCAGCGCTCCCCATCCCTCCCGCCCTTGCGGAGACTGCCGCGGATGCAGACGCGGCGGCGGCAGCGGCGGCGGCGTTGGCGGACGCGTGCTCGCAGGAGCTGGGCGGGGCGGACCTGAACACGGTGATCGCCGTGGCGTGCGTCGTGCAGCTCATCGCGCTCATCGGCGCGGGCGTCGGAGGTGCGTGGCGGGCCGCAGTGAGGTAGATAGGTTCTGACATTTGAGATGCCTCCGGTGTGGGAGGTGGGTGGCGGCATCGAGCCAGATGGGACGTGGTTGGGACCGGTCGGGACACGCGCAAGGTGAGTGGGCTGCATTCGACGGAAGGGGGAGGTGACTGTCAGTGATCGTGTAGAGGTGGGAAGTTGGAGTCAGGGCAGATTGCAACTGAAATTCACTTTAAGACGCAACAAATTTGATGGCCAAGGGATTATAGTGTCAACTTTTGTATCCCGTCTCCCCACCTGCTGGTTCAGGCACGCCATTTCCTTCGCGCTCTCTGTGTTCTGGCCTCTCCTAATCTTGGAAGCACTTTAAGCAACGCATTTGTCACTCACTCACTCCCTACTCACTCATTTGTGTTCACTACCCACTATTCAATTACTCCTCCCTATATAATCGCTGCGTTCCTCCATTCCCCTTCCTGCCACCAATATACACCCACGTAATTGACCCATACTGCCACACTTCAACATCAAAGTAGCAAATACGCATGTCATTACCCCGTCCATGCGGCCATGGATACCCACCCCGCCCGGCCTCATCGCCCACCCCATCCCCATCTCCTATATGGCTCCGGGCTGGATGGCACGAGCACGCACGGCGAAGGTGGAGCGCGTAAACGCACAGCTGCCGCAGATCAACATCTGCCTGCGAAAGCACTGTTGAGGTTCACACATCCCCCCCCACCCGATCCCCACGGCCCCATCCCAGGGTGGGTGGCACGGGTGCGCAAGGCGGAGGTGGAGCGAATCAACGCGCAGCTGCGCCAGATCAACATCAGCCTGCGCAAGCAGGCGCGCGTCGAGTCCTACGCGCCCTCCCTCTCCTACGCCCCCGTCGGCCAGCCCGCCGCCGCCGCCGCTGCCGCCGCCGCCGCCGCTGCTGTAGCTGCTGCGAGCGCGCCGACAGAGACAGTAAAGAAGGAGGGGGGGGCGGCGATTTCGGAGGAGAAGCGGGGGGTGCTGCGGCTGCTGAAGGAGGGCAAGAGGTACCTGCGCGAGGGCAACAACGCGGCGGCGTTTGTGGAGTTTGAAAAGGGGCTGCAGCAGGCGCAGCGCATGGGGGATTGCTTGGAAGAGAAGAAGGCGGCCCGTGGCTGTGGTGAGTGCGATGGCTTGTTGGTCGTGGGCAGGTGTTAGGTGTTCGGTCATGTATCTCGACGGCTGTTGAGACGTCTCAAAAGGCTGCAGCAGGCGCAGCGCATGGGGGATTGCCTGGAGGAGAAGAAGGCGGCGCGAGGGTGTGGTGAGTGCGGTGGGGCGCTGGTCGTGGATGGGTGTTAGGCGTCTGATTGTGTGTCTTGACGTCTGCCATTTTACAGGCTCTGGTTTCGTGCATGAGTAAAGCTGTTCAATGCACGATCGTGGTTTGAAGCATGGGTATCATGGCCTGGTGGATGGGGTATCGCAGCTGGTTGCATGGGTTGCCACAGACGCCAGCCATCCTGATGCAGGTTTCCTCCCACGTTGGCATGTTATGTCCTGCACCATACCCCTTTATCATCTCTACCCCACCAGTTCTCTCCCGCTGTGCCCTCCTCATTCTTCAGCTAACTTTCTGCATGTGCATGTGTTCTCCTCTCCTTTCTCTTCCCGCCATCATATCTCGCGCTCTCCCACTCACATTCTATTCCCGCGCTTGTTCCCTTCCTGCTTCTCAATTCCCCAGGAGCATCGCTGCAGCGGCAGGGCAAGTACCGGGAGGCGATAGCATACCACCAGAGGGTGCTGGACAAGTCGTGCAGCTCAGGCGAGCATGCAGGCGACACAGAGGCCTATGGCGCCATTGCTGACTGCTACACTGAGATCGGCGACCTTGAGAATGCCGCTAAGTACTATGACCGGTACATTTCCCGCATGGAGTCTGACGATGAATCCTGAGAACACTGCCAAGTTGAATGATCGGTACATTTCCCGGATGGAGTCTGATGATGAAGACCATTAGGCGCGTTGTGCAGTGCGGTGTACCTTTTTACACACAGTAACAAATTCTGCTCTCCATGCTTGAATATACGGTGCAGAATGTTGTGCAGAGTGAGTTTGGTTCTCAGAAAAACGCTAGAACATTGAGGTGTCAGACACCGTAAAACCATCAGTAATAAGAAGCAGTCAGTAATAAACAGAGCACACAGGCCCGCTCTTCTAATCTAAGGATTGCAAAACCAAGCAGAAGACTAAAGCACTACTGCTTGCTCCATTTCCCACATTCCTGTGCATTTCTAAGCATCAGGTACACTCGTTTCTACACTCATTTCGAGTCGGTGAAGTAAGCATCAATCACACCATTGAAATTGCCGCCAGCAGCACCACCAGGTGTGAGACCGGCACCAGGAGCAGCAGCATCAGCACCAGGAGCTCCTTGGGAGTTTACTGCTTGACCAAGCTGCAGTGGATAAGAGGCACAAGACAAAACAGCAGGAGCACACTTTCAGTTGAGATCAGGCAACAAGCAACTAAGCACCACAAACTACCGTATACGTGCTCATCCCTCATAGCACCGTAACCCTTGACAGACATCCCATCCTCAATTCTCAGTCACAAGTTTCCCACCTCAACTTCCCCTTCCTCCACTCCATCATAACACCAACACCATAGCACGACACCCATCATCCTCACACCCACACAGCCACAGCCACATAGCACTTATATAGCCTCTTCGTACCTACCTACCACAGTGTTTTCATTAATAAAACATTTTGGTACTGCACCAGCCTGCTATGCAATTCTGTCCCTGTTCACATTATAATAAAAGATGATCTCGAACTTGAGCAGTTAGCAGCTTGGGAAGAAGCAACAGAAGTCACGGTACAGGTGGCTGTGCTGAATACCGTACCGGTGCTACCACTCCCGGGCTTGGCTTATTTCACCGTGTGTCTCAAGAACCCTTCTCTAGCGAGCAGTGCGGAACCAAAGGCAGCATCGGTGTTCCCTGATGGGGCCACAGGCACTCCCATCACTCGCTCCCTGATGGCACTCCATGTGGGGTTCCCTGCGCCCCCACCTGCTGTGTACACCCGCTTCACTGGCGGCGACGCTCCCAAGTCAGCTAATAACGAGTATGCCCTGGCCTGGTGAGGTGAGTTGGTTGGGGAGAGCAGGAGCGGATCACACGTGTGGGCGTGATGTGATGTCGCGTGTATAAGAGCATATGGGAATGAGCAATTGAGTGTAATGGTGCTTGTGTGCGCGTAAGTGACTGTAACAAGGCGGATAAGACTAGGAAGCAATGAAGAAAGAGATTCAGGAACAGAAGCGCACCTCAATGGCAATGGATTCAAGAATGCCGTGCAGGAAGAGAGACTGAGACGGAAGATTTCTAGAGTGAGTGACAGAACGAGGAAGTGGGGAGCAGAGGCGCACCTCAATGGTGGCAATGGACTCGAGAATGCCGTGCAGGAAGAGAGCGTCGTCAGCAGGGCGAGGAGTCAGGCTGCACGAGCGAGAGAGGAACGGTGTGAGTAATCCGACCCAGTGATTGGACATGACGGTGTGATTGGACAGGACGGTGTGATTGGACAGGACGGTGTGATTGTGCCACCAATGCCATGCACAGGTGCACAGGGACAAGACCAAATGGCACGACTCTCGGGCATCAACAGAAGCTCGCTGAGGACAGCATGTGATCCGAGGCTGCACACTCACCGAGGCTGCAGGTCAGGGTCGGACACAGGGAACCTCTCTCCAGGGCGCGTAAGTGGGTAGTAATCGAGTTTACTCTCTACACTCGGGTCTATTTTTGCACTCAGCTCCCTCAACTGCTCGTCTGTGAAATGCTCCCGCAGCACTGCGCCGCCCGTATTCGACGCCCCGCCGACCAGCCACTTGCACTCCTTGTCCTCTTCTGCCGCACCTCCCTGCTCCGTCCCCCCCTCGTTCTCCACCCCCGGCGGCGCCCAATTCCCGGGCGGCAAGCGGTGGCTGTATACTCCGAAACGAGCATCGTCGATTCTCGCGGTGCTGACGAGCTTGACGGCGAGGGTAGACCCAAGGGACGTGACCGCATACCCAGGAGAAGTTACCCTCGCGGCCAGGAAGGCCGCAATGCTGTCAGTGGTGCCGGTGGTGACGATGCAGTCAGACGGGAGGGCTGCAGGGAGGGAGGGAGCAGTTGCAGATGGTGAGTGTATGATGGGGGAGAGGGTGGAAGGCTGCATAAGGGTTACATGTATGGCTCATATTGCATGACAAGCACTTGCAGGACAAAGGAATAAAAAGCCAACACCGTGTGTGTCCACACACACAATCCCCCCACCTCGACTCACCAAACTCGGCCCCGAGTTGTGTTTTCACTGTGAGGATAAGGGAGCCAAGCGGCAGCACACGTGGCAGCACACGTGGCAGCATAACGCATTCACAAACAGCCAACAGAGTATGCATAGACTGAAGCGTTCCCACCTCGACTCACCAAACTCGGCCGTGATTCGTGTCCCCACGGTGCCGATGAGGGAGCCGGGCGGCAGCACACGTGGCAGCATGGACGCGAAGGGCAGCGCAAGCAGCCAGTCTGGGTAGGTGCTGCTCTCAGGGTCGTAGCCCAGCTGGTGGGGCGTGTGGGAGACAGAGAGAGGAGATGGGGGAGGCGATTCCTGAATATGAGAGAATTCACGCCAGCCTGTCCGGGAAGGCGCTGCTCTCAGGGTCGTAGCCCAGCTGGTGGGGCGTGTGGGAGACAGAGAGAGGAGATGGGGGAGGCGATTCCTGAATATGAGAGAATTCACGCCAGCCTGTCCGGGTAGGCGCTGCTCTCAGGGTCGTAGCCCAGCTGGTGGGGCGTGTGGGAGACAGAGAGAGGAGATGGGGGAGGCGATTCCTGAATATGATGGGGAACCTGATGGGGAACCTGATGGGGAACCTGATGGGGAACCTGATGGGCAACCTGATGGGGAACCTGATGCGGAACCTGATGCGGAACCTGATGGGGTGGGGAACCTGATGGGGAACCTGATGCGGAACCTGATGCGGAACCTGATGGGGTGGGGAACCTGATGGGGAACCTGATGGGGAACCTGATGCGGAACCTGATGCGGAACCTGATGGGGTGGGGAACCTGATGGGGAACCTGATGCGGAACCTGATGGGGAACCTGATGGGGAACCTGATGGGGAACCTGATGGGGAACCTGATGGGGAACCTGATGGGGAACCTGATGGGGAACCTGATGGGGAACCTGATGCGGAACCTGATGCGGAACCTGATGCGGAACCTGATGCGGAACCTGATGGGGAACCTGACGGGGAACCTGATGGGGAACCTGATGCGGAACCTGATGCGGAACCTGATGCGGAACCTGATGCGGAACCTGATGGGGAACCTGATGTGGAACCTGATGGGGAACCTGATGGCGAACCTGATGGCGAACCTGATGGGGAACCTGATGGGGAACCTGATGGGGAACCTGATGGGGAACCTGATGGGGAACCTGATGGGGAACCTGATGGGGAACCTGATGCGGAACCTGATGGGGAACCTGATGGGGAACCTGATGGGGAACCTGATGGGGTGGAGAACCTGATGGGGAACCTGATGGGGAACCTGATGGGGTGGGGAACCTGATGGGGAACCTGATGGGGTGGGGAACCTGATGGGGAACCTGATGGGGAACCTGATGGGGAAACTGATGGGGAACCTGATGGGGAACCTGATGGGGTGGGGAACCTGATGGGGAACCTGATGGGAAACCTGATGGGGAACCTGATGGAGAACCTGATGGGGAACCTGATGGGGAACCTGATGGGGAACCTGATGGGGAACCTGATGCGGAACCTGATGCGGAACCTGATGGGGAACCTGATGGGGAACCTGATGGGGAACCTGATGGGGAACCTGATGGGGAACCTGATGGGGAACCTGATGGGGAACCTGATGGGGAACCTGATGGGGAACCTGATGGGGAACCTGATGGGGAACCTGATGGGGAACCTGATGGGGAACCTGATGGGGAACCTGATGGGGAACCTGATGCGGAACCTGATGGGGAACCTGATGGGGAACCTGATGCGGAACCTGATGGGGAACCTGGTGGGGAACCTAATGGGGAACCTGATGCGGAACCTGATGGGGAACCTGGTGGGGAACCTGATGGGGAACCTGATGGGGAACCTGATGGGGAACCTGATGGGGAACCTGGTGGGGAACCTGATGGGGAACCTGATGCGGAACCTGATGGGGAACCTGATGGGGAACCTGATGCGGAACCTGATGGGGAACCTGGTGGGGAACCTGATGGGGAACCTGATGCGGAACCTGATGGGGAACCTGGTGGGGAACCTGGTGGGGAACCTGGTGGGGAACACTCACCAGCACCATCCCACTCACCAGCACCATCCCACTCACCAGCACCATCCCACTCACCAGCACCATCCCACTCACCAGCACCATTATCTCATCATCCCCTCTTACCTTAAGCGCATTGTTAAAGTCAGTGACATGCACGTCCGCTGCTGCTCCACACAGCTGCCCCAACAGCCAGTCCGCCTGATGCACCATCACCACCTCCCCCTCTCCCTCCCCTCCCTCTCCTCCTCCACCTCTTCCCTGTCTCTCCTCCTCCCCACTCCCCTCCCCCTGCCCACCTCCCCCCCCCTGCCTCAACCACCACGTCATCAGCTTGCACAGCGTGGACGTGCCAGCTGTCGTCGTGTGATTGGCCGGCGCCACTGCCGCCACGGCAGCAACGGCTTCCGCGCTGCCCGCCTCGTTGTACATCATGGGGCGGGTGGTGGGCTCGCGGGTGGTGCTGGTGATGGGAGGAAGAAACGGAAAGAGGCGAAGGGATCACACACTGCCTCAGGGCTGCCCGCCTCGTTGTACATCATTGGGCGGGCCAGGGGCTCGCGGGTGGTGCTGGTGATGGGATGGGGGGAAAGAGTCAATCAGTCTCTTGAATCGGACTGCCTGCCTGCTTCAGGGCTGCCCGCCTTGTTGCACATCATGGGTCGGGTGATGGGCTCACGGGTAGAGCTGATACATGGAAGGGATGGAAGAGACGAGAGGGAGGAGGGGAAACGGCCGCACCACATCGCACCACATTGCACCACATCGCACCACACGCTGTTTGCCTCGTTGTATGAAGAGCTCGTGGTGTTGCACCCACGCATGCGTGCATCCTCATGCTCACATGCCATCATGCCACCATACCACCTGCGGCTCTCTTTCCCCTGCACCGCACTGCACCCCTGTAGTGGCTCTCTCACTGCCTGACGAGCATGGTGGTGCCAGACGTGCCCTCCAGCACCATGTCACCTGCACCGCACCACACCGCACTGCACCCATGCAGACGCTCTCTCACCGGCTGACGACCATGGTGGTGGCGGACGTGCCGTCCAGCGATGCTGCCGCCACTCGCCGCCTCAACTCCTCGGGAATGTCGCGCAACAGTCCAAACAACGCCGCCCGCCACCCCTCCGCTGCTGACACGTCATCGTCCGGGTCGGAGGTGCCGCCCACTGCTAACTCAGCATGGGCGGCAGGAGGGTACTTCCTCTTGACGTCAGCGAGAATGGCTGCGTTGCCATCAATAACGACAGCACGCGCCCCAGACGTGCCAAAATCAAATCCCAGGAAAAGAGGGGAAAATTCAGCTGTTGACGTGGACGCGCGCACAAGGACGGCGCCGCCAGGTTGCCGAACACGTGGCATTGCCTTCAAGCTGCCACGTGGCAGCAATTTCCGGATTTGCCCTTCTACAAACGGGTTGTTCAGGCGGTTCCTGTGTGGTCGGACTATCCCCGTCCGCCAATTAGGTTGCTCCACGTGGCGATGGGAGGCGCATTGCCCTCCCACGGTCGTGCTGATTGCTGGGGTGGCAATGTTGCTGTGACAATAGCGATGGGTCGCATTCTGATTCCGAGAGTGAGTATGGGGGAGAGTGCGGCAGAGAGCGAGAGTGCAGCGGGATTCAAGGCGCGCGGAGGTCGAGGCAGGGTGGGGACGACAATGCGCATTCCGCGGCAATGCGCCGCAGGTTGGGGAAGCCATACAAGGCAAGGTGATGGGAAAAGAATACAGTGGAATATGTTATGAAAGTAATATATTAAGGCGAGGTAGCGGCCGTGGGCGTTTGGTCTAGTGGCATGATTCTCGCTTAGGGTGCGAGAGGTCCCGAGTTCAATTCTCGGAACGCCCCTTTTCTTTCCTCCCATTTTGTTTTGTCGCCCCTAATGGCCTGTTGGTTGAGAAATTAGAGGCATCGGGACCTCTAAGTTTACTACCTGACCCTGAAGGGGACGAGAAGGAAGCTTGAGTGAAGGAACAACTGGCATAGGGCACTAATTTAAGCGTGACTTGCAAGGCTTACTTTGCAATGCAGCAATGCACAAGATCTCAGTCATCCTCCCCTGCCTTCTCTTGTTATGGTACCTCATCGTTTATGCTCATATATATACATACGGTACAATAACATTAGCTTTTATATATTGTACCGTACTTGTTTCCCTAGATCTATGTGCAGTACGCAACAGGATCTTTACAGATCCCTCGTAATTCCTACGTATGCATGTTATGCACCTTGATTAACTTCAGGTAATGTCTCCGGTACCTCAATAAGCTGTTGCGCCGGTGTGTGCAACCGCACGGGTGTGTGCTGCTGCTGCTGCTACAGCTCAGGGTGGCATAGTGCGTGTGCAGGTGGCGTGTGATGACGTGTGAAGCACTGGTGCGAGGCGCATGAATCACCCAGCCAGGGCCTGACTGCATGTGCTGGTGCTCCTGTGTGGGCCGGCCGTAGTGTGTGCGCAGGTGGCGTGTGAGGCACTTTAAGCCCTGCTCTGGGTCGTATGTACCGCGCAGGCAGGCCTGAACCGAGTATGCTGCTGCAACTGCTAGGGATGGATTGCCCGCGTGTGCTGGTGCTACCGCGCTGGCTGGCCATAGTGTGTGCGCAGGTGGCGTGTGAAGGACTGCGAGCATTGGTGTGGGGGGTATGTCCCCTCATGTGCTGCTGCTACCGCGCTGGCTGGCCGTAGTGTGTGCGCAGGTGCCGTGTGAGGTCCACCTTGTACCCAAACGCCCTCCCACACTCCGTAAAGCTGCAAGGGAGGAAGAGGGGAGGGGGGAGGGGCGGGCCGGACAGAGGGCGTTGAGGAGGGAAGCAAGGTAGGAAAGGAGTGCGTGCGCAGGTGACGAGTGCGATCCACCTTGTACCCAAACGCCCTCCCACACTCTGTGAAGCTGCAGTAAAGAGGGGGTTAGGAGGGGAGGAAAATGGGTAAAAGGCTGAACGGAGGGGGTTGAGGGAGGAGGTTAGGGGAAAGGGAGAAAGCAAGGTGGGAAGGGGAATGTGTGCGCAGGTGGCGTGTGAGGTCCACCTTGTACCCAAACGCCCTCCCACACTCGGTGAAGCTGCAGGGGAGGGGAGGAAGGCGAGCAAGGGAGGTGTTGGGGACGGGCTTTCCGCGGGAGAACTCTTGATGGGACGAGAATGGATAGCAGTGAAGGCATGGCAGCACACTACAAGACAGGTGGCTAGGAATGTAGTTGGCGCGGCAATGGAAGGGCTTCTCCCCTGTGTGCGCACGCAGGCAGCTTCTCAGTCGATTCTAAAGGCAGAGCAGGAGCAGCAGCAGCTGAAGTGCAAGATGAGTGTCAGAGCAGGGGCAGCAGGAGGGCAAGCAAGGGGAGGCTCACGAGCAGTGGAAGGGCTTTTCTCCAGTGTGCGTGCGCAGGTGGCCGTGTAGCGAGTTGACTCACACGGCAAGTAACAGGCAAGCAAGTCTTGAAATGACTCAAACGGCAAGTGGGACTCACGAGCAGTGGAAGGGTTTTTCCCCCGTGTGCGTGCGCAGGTGGCCGTGCAGCGAGTTGGTCCACTTGAACGTCTTCTCACACCCCTCCCACGGGCACTGCAATGGCCGCTCGTCGCTGTGCGTGCGCTGATGCACCACCTGAGGGAGGGGGAAGGGTTGGAGAGGAAGGGAGAGGGAGTGAGGAAAGGGAGTGTGAAAGTGATAAGCCTCCTCTGTTTTGAGAGGTAACAAAGAGCAAGGGGGCGAGCAGCACATGAGAGCACAGAGAGGCGAGCAAGGGCAGAGACTGAACCATTGACCCGCGACTCCTTCAACTCACCAGCCGTTCTCTGAACGCAAACCGCTTCCCACACCCCGGCACCGCACATGCATGCAAGCACTTGTGCTTCTTCACATGCCGCCCCAGAAGCTGCCTCATTGCCATGCAAGGCATAAACCATACCAGCACTTGTTCAACTCACCAGCCGTTCTCTGAACGCAAACCGCTTCCCACACCCCGGCACCGCACAGGCGTGCAAGCACTCGTGCTTCTTGACATGCCGGCCCAGCAGCTGCCGTGTGGCCATGCGCTCGCCACAGCCGTCCACGGAGCACTGGTAGGGGCGCTGCCCCGAGTGCTCGTTCAGATGGTCTCTGAGTGACCCCGGTGTGGCGAACTTGCGGGGGCAGCCCGTGTGTGGGCAGATGTGTGCTCTTTCACTCGCTGCTATCAGCCTTTTCGTCTCCTGTAGCATCTGGGGGGAGGGGGAGGGGATGAGAGGCAGAGAGAGAGGTGGGGATGAGAGAGGAAGAGAGGCAGAGAAGGGCAACCCGCGTCTCCATTATACGGGAAAATGTGCGTCCGCTCGCTTGCTGCTATCGTCCTCTTGGTCTCTGGCAGCATCTGGAGCGAGGGGGAGAACAGAACAGGGAGGCAGAGAGGTGGAATCGAGAGAAGCAGACGGGCAGAGAGGCGAGAATGTTGGAGGCAGAGAGAGAATGTTGGAGGCAGAGAGAGAATGTTGGAGGCAGAGAGAGAATGTTGGAGGCAGAGAGAGATTGCATTGTTCAGGCCCCTACCATCATCCCCTCCCTACCACACACCCCCATTCTTGCCCGGAACGCAACGCACCACCTGCTTGCACTCGCTCATTAACCTGAATATCATCCCCTTCCTAACCCTACCACCATTCCCTTTATGCCACAACCCCCGCTCCTCTCTGCTCACCTGCTCCATCTGAGCCACTGTCAGCTCCTCCCACGGCGTCCCCAGCAACCCGCCACCCGCCTCTGCTCCCCCTGCTGCGTGTGCTCCCTGTTGTGCCCCTTGGCCCCCCTCTGCTCCTCGTGCTCCCTGCACTGCCCCTTGTGCCCCTTGCGTTCCCTCACTTGTGCTACCAGCTACAGCGGACTGAGTAACAGAACTAGCACCACCAGCGTTAGCACCAACAGCGCTAGCAGCGGCATGAGGCGCACCACCACCCCCTTGCCCTGCGGCCATGCCGGCAGCCTCCAGAGCCATGCGGTACGTCGCTGCCAGCTCACATGCATCTGAACCCCTCAGCTGCTCCGGCCTGCATGTGAAGGGGAGGGAGGGGGGTCCGTGGAAACCACACAAGAGGAGGCGCGGAGGTGCGTACGTATTCAAGCCACACAATAAGTCGCGGCCAGCTCATACAGAGCTCTCAAAACTCACTCTCACGAGTCACTCTCACAAGTCACTCTCAAAAGTCACTCTCAAAAGTCACTCTAAAAAGTTACTTGAGAGCCTCACCCATTTCATTGCCCCACTCACTGGATTCGTTTCCACTTGGACAGAGCCAGCCTGCGCGAGAGAGACGCACCCCTCCCCTTCATCCCCCCCCTCTCCCCCTCCCCCTTCCCCCCTTCCTCCTCCGCGCCCCTCCCCCGCCCACTTCCCCCTCCCCTCACCGCCTTGTCTCCTCCCACTCCTCCTCCGCCTCTCCCTCTCTCCCCTCCCCCATCATCTCCACTGTCCCATGCACCCCCCTCTTGCCCCCCTCCCACGCCCCCCTCCTGCTCTCCTCTCACGTCCCCCTCTTCTCCCAACCACTCCACACAGTCGCCCTCGCCATTACCCCCACAAGCATCCCCCTCCAATTCCCTCCCCACCCGCTCCCCCTCCGCCTCCTCTCCCCCCTCCCGACCTAACACATGCGCCCGCTCTCCCCCCACCTCCCGCCCATCCATCTCCCCACGCTCCACCCGCCTCCTCTTGGCTCTCTGCTGCTCCACAACCCCACCAGCACCACCTGTCCCAACCCTCTGAGCACACCCCAGTCCCATCGCCCCTCTTCCCTCCCCATTCTCGCCTCCCCCCATCCCCCTCGCCCCTTCCCTTTCCCCCCTGCACTGTGCATTCCCTCCGCTCCCCCTCATGCCCTCTTCCCCCTCTCTCCCACCGTTCCCCGCCCTCTCTCTCTGCCCTGTTCTGTCCCCTCTGCTCTGTCCTGCTTCCTGCCCCACACCACCGCTCCCCCACTCCGTGCCGGTATGCCCCCCTGTGGCGGCAACTGCGGCATGCATCCACCGCTGCATGCTGCCTCCATACTGCTCTCGCACCACTTGCATGAGCTGCGCGAATACTGCAGGGGAGAGAAGGATGGGGAGGAAGGGGCACGAGGGAATGAGCCGTACGCTCATACGCTGCACCGCCCGATCATACGCTGCACCGCCCGCTCATACGCTGCACCGCCCGCTCATACGCTGCACCACCCGCTCATACGCTGCACCGCACGCTCATACGCTGCACCGCCCGCTCATACGCTGCACCGCCCGCTCATACGCTGCACCGCACGCTCATACGCTGCACCGCCCGCTCATACGCTGCACCGCCCGCTCATACGCTGCACCGCCCGCTCATACGCTGCACCGCCCGCTCATACGCTGCACCGCCCGCTCATACGCTGCACCGCCCGCTCATACGCTGCATCGCACGCTCATACGCTGCACCGCCCGCTCATACGCTGCACCGCCCGCTCATACGCTGCACCGCCCGCTCATACGCTGCACCGCCCGCTCATACGCTGCATCGCACGCTCATACGCTGCACCCCCCGCTCATACGCTGCACCTCACGCTCATACGCTGCACCGCCCGCTCATACGCTGCACCGCCCGCTCATACGCTGCACCGCCCGCTCATACGCAACACCGCCCGCTCATACGCTGCACCGCACGGTTATACGCTGCACCGCCCGCTCATACGCTGCACCGCACGCTCATACGCTGCATCGCCCGCTCATACGCTGCACCGCCCGCTCATACGCTGCACCGCCCGCTCATACGCTGCACCGCACGCTCATACGCTGCACCGCACGCTCATACGCTGCACCGCCCGCTCATACGCTGCACCGCCCGCTCATACGCTGCACCGCCCGCTCATACGCTGCACCGCCCGCTCATACGCTGCACCGCCCGCTCATACGCTGCACCGCCCGCTCATACGCTGCACCGCCCGCTCATACGCTGCACCGCACGCTTATACGCTGCACCGCCCGCTCATACGCTGCACCGCCCGCTTATACGCTGCACCGCCCGCTCATACGCTGCACCGCCCGCTCATACGCTGCACCGCCCGCTCATACGCTGCACCGCCCGCTCATACGCTGCACCGCCCGCTCATACGCTGCACCGCCCGCTCATACGCTGCACCGCACGCTTATACGCTGCACCGCCCGCTCATACGCTGCACCGCCCGCTCATACGCTGCACCGCCCGCTCATACGCTGCACCGCACGCTCATACGCTGCACCGCCCGCTCATACGCTGCACCGCCCGCTCATACGCTGCACCGCACGCTTATACGCTGCACCGCCCGCTGATACGCTGCACCGCCCGCTCATACGCTGCACCGCCCGCTCATACGCTGCACCGCCCGCTCATACGCTGCACCGCCCGCTCATACGCTGCACCGCCCGCTCATACGCTGCACCGCCCGCTCATACGCTGCACCGCCCGCTCATACGCTGCACCGCCCGCTCATACGCTGCACCGCCCGCTCATACGCCGCACCGCCCGCTCATACGCTGCACCGCACGCTCATACGCTGCACCGCCCGCTCATACGCTGCACCGCCCGCTCATACGCTGCACCGCCCGCTGATACGCTGCACCGCCCGCTCATACGCTGCACCGCCCGCTCATACGCTGCACCGCCCGCTCATACGCTGCACCGCCCACTCATACGCTGCACCGCCCACTCATACGCTGCACCGCACGCTTATACGCTGCACCGCCCGCTCATACACTGCACCGCACTGCACCGCACGCTCATACGCTGCACAGCACGCTCATACGCTGCACCGCCCGCTCATACGGTGCACCGCCCGCTCATACGGTGCACCGCACGCTCATACCCTGCACCGCCCGCTCATACGCTGCACCGCCCGCTCATACGCTGCAGCGCACGCTCATACGCTGCACCGCCCGCTCATACGCTGCACCGCCCGCTCATACGCTGCACCGCCCGCTCATACGCTGCACCGCCCGCTCATACGCTGGACCGCCCGCTCATACGCTGCACCGCCCGCTCATACGCTGCACCGCCCGCTCATACGCTGCACCGCACGCTCATACGCTGCACCGCCCGCTCATACGCTGCACCGCCCGCTCATACGCTGCACCGCCCGCTCATACACTGCACCGCCCGCTCATACGCTGCACCACCCGCTCATACGCTGCACCGCCCGCTCATACGCTGCACCGCACGCTCATACGCTGCACCGCCCGCTCATACGTTGCACCGCCCGCTCATACGCTGCACCGCCCGCTCATACGCTGCACCGCCCGCTCATACGCTGCACCGCCCGCTCATACGCTGCACCGCACGCTCATACGCTGCACCGCCCGCTCATACGCTGCACCGCACGCTCATACGCTGCACCGCCCGCTCATACGCTGCACCGCCCGCTCATACGCTGCACCGCCCGCTCATACGCTGCACCGCCCGCTCATACGCTGCACCGCACGCTCATACGCTGCACCGCCCGCTCATACGCTGCACCGCCCGCTCATACGCTGCATCGCCCGCTCATACGCTGCACCGCCCGCTCATACGCTGCACCGCACGCTTATACGCTGCACCGCCCGCTCATACGCTGCACCGCCCGCTCATACGCTGCACCGCCCGCTCATACGCTGCACCACACGCTTATACGCTGCACCGCCCGCTCATACGCTGCACCGCCCGCTCATACGCTGCACCGCCCGCTCATACGCTGCACCGCCCGCTCATACGCTGCACCGCCCGCTCATACGCTGCACCGCCCGCTCATACGCTGCACCGCCCGCTCATACGCTGCACCGCCCGCTCATACGCTGCACCGCCCGCTCATACGCTGCACCGCCCGCTCATACGCTGCACCGCACGCTTATACGCTGCACCGCCCGCTCATACGCTGCACCGCCCGCTCATACGCTGCACCGCCCGCTCATACGCTGCACCGCCCGCTCATACGCTGCACCGCCCGCTCATACGCTGCACCGCACGCTCATACGCTGCACCGCACGCTCATACGCTGCACCCCCCGCTCATACGCTGCACCTCACGCTGATACGCTGCACCGCCTGCTCGTACGCTGCACCGCCCGCTCATACGCTGCACCGCCCGCTCATACGCTGCACCGCCCGCTCATACGCTGCACCGCCCGCTCATACGCTGCACCGCCCGCTCATACGCTGCACCGCCCGCTCATACGCTGCACCGCCCGCTCATACGCTGCACCGCCCGCTCATACGCTGCACCGCACGCTTATACGCTGCACCGCCCGCTCATACGCTGCACCGCCCGCTCATACGCTGCACCGCCCGCTCATACGCTGCACCGCACGCTCATACGCTGCACCGCCCGCTCATACACTGCACCGCCCGCTCATACGCTGCACCGGACGCTCATACGCTGCACCGCCCGCTCATACGCTGCACCGCCCGCTCATACGCTGCACCGCCCGCTCATACGCTGCACCGCCCGCTCATACGCTGCACCGCCCGCTCATACGCTGCACCGCCCGCTCATACGCTGCACCGCCCGCTCATACGCTGCACCGCCCGCTCATACGCTGCACCGCACGCTCATACGCTGCACCGCCCGCTCATACGCTGCACCGCACGCTCATACGCTGCACCGCCCGCTCATACGCTGCACCGCACGCTCATACGCTGCACCGCCCGCTCATACGCTGCACCGCCCGCTCATACGCTGCACCGCCCGCTTATACGCTGCACCGCCCGCTCATACGCTGCACCGCCCGCTCATACGCTGCACCGCCCGCTCATACGCTGCACCGCCCGCTCATACGCTGCACCGCCCGCTCATACGCTGCACCGCCCGCTCATACGCTGCACCGCCCGCTCATACGCTGCACCGCCCGCTCATACGCTGCACCGCCCGCTCATACGCTGCACCGCCCGCTCATACGCTGCACCGCCCGCTCATACGCTGCACCGCACGCTCATGCGCTGCACCGCCCGCTCATACGCTGCACCGCCCGCTCATACGCTGCACCGCCCGCTCATACGCTGCACCGCCCGCTCATACGCTGCACCGCCCGCTCATACGCTGCACCGCCCGCTCATACGCTGCACCGCACGCTCATACGCTGCACCGCCCGCTCATACGCTGCACCGCCCGCTCATACGCTGCACCGCCCGCTCATACGCTGCACCGCACGCTCATACGCTGCACCGCACGCTCATACGCTGCACCGCACGCTCATACGCTGCACCGCCCGCTCATACGCTGCACCGCACGCTCATACGCTGCACCGCCCGCTCATACGCTGCACCGCGCGCTCATACGCTGCACCGCACGCTCATACGCTGCACCGCCCGCTCATACGCTGCACCGCCCGCTCATACGCTGCACCGCCCGCTCATACGCTGCACCGCCCGCTCATACGCTGCACCGCCCGCTCATACGCTGCACCGCCCGCTCATACGTTGCACCGCCCGCTCATACGCTGCACCGCCCGCTCATACGCTGCACCGCACGCTCATACGCTGCACCGCACGCTCATACGCTGCACCGCCCGCTCATACGCTGCACCGCCCGCTCATACGCTGCACCGCCCGCTCATACGCTGCACCGCCCGCTCATACGCTGCACCGCCCGCTCATACGCTGCACCGCCCGCTCATACGCTGCACCGCCCGCTCATACGCTGCACCGCCCGCTCATACGCTGCACCGCCCGCTCATACGCTGCACCGCCCGCTCATACGCTGCACCGCACGCTCATGCGCTGCACCGCCCGCTGATACGCTGCACCGCCCGCTCATACGCTGCACCGCCCGCTCATACGCTGCACCGCCCGCTCATACGCTGCACCGCCCGCTCATACGCTGCACCGCCCGCTCATACGCTGCACCGCACGCTCATACGCTGCACCGCACGCTCATACGCTGCACCGCCCGCTCATACGCTGCACCGCACGCTCATACGCTGCACCGCCCGCTCATACGCTGCACCGCGCGCTCATACGCTGCACCGCACGCTCATACGCTGCACCGCCCGCTCATACGCTGCACCGCCCGCTCATACGCTGCACCGCCCGCTCATATGCTGCACCGCCCGCTCATACGCTGCACCGCCCGCTCATACGCTGCACCGCCCGCTCATACGTTGCACCGCCCGCTCATACGCTGCACC